AAAAGCTAAAATGAACTAAAGTTTAAAGTATATAAACCAAAATGAACATTTTGAAAGTACAATTTACTAAAATAGTATTTTGACCTTAAATTTAAGAATAATGTTTAGGTTCTTACTAGTTAATAAATATCTCGTGCTTAACATCATTAAAAAGGTGAGAGCTAAAAGAGATAAGGCATAAAATAAGATATAGAAAAATATATATTTTTTTTAATAAATAGCTGTCATTTTTTAATGATGGTAAATAGGTAGTAACTAAATATTGTTCAAAATTTAATTTAAAAAGAAGTACAACATCATCTTTGAGTATCTTTAAAATACAACATTTGTGAAGCGGATGGAACAATTTTTTAAATTTTAGAGACTAAAAATATTTTTCATCTTAATGATATGTAATATTTACGTATATCAGAAATTAATGAAAGAATAACAATAATAATAGAAAAAAAGAAGCAAAAAAAGAGGGATGATATCATGCATCTGGTTACTAGTCCGAGAGTATTTCAATACAAAAAGGAAAAAAAAAGAAGAGTTTAGGCAACAAAATATACATAAATCAACTTTCTAATAAAAAATAGTGTTATTTTGGGATATTAGTAGATACAATTTATATTTTATTAGCTTAATATTTGTATTTCTTAATGTAGAAAAAAAAGTTCCATTGTTCTAAACATTATATTCCAATCCTAAATGCGAAATCGTACCTGGTAGCCAATCCTAAGTTTGTTAGCGGGCCTAATTTTCCAAACAAAATACTGGGGGTAGACTTTATAGCTTGATAGGGTCCATGGTGTTGAGTGAATACATTAAACATTATTCAAGTGTTATTAGTAAAATTTGTTGTGATAGTCGATAAAGAGAGAATAACCTATTTTATAGCATATTGCTTTGCTTGACATTTACTTAGCATAACTTTTTATATATATATATAGATTAAAGAAGATATAGCCAATGATATCAAGTACCACATTTAATACGAGTATACTCACTGTCCTACCCTTGAATCAGAAAAAAAAGAGGGTAGGTCCCGTTGCCTACTGCATCATACAGCTCTAAGTTTCTTAATGACTTATAATAATGGTCATATTACCAAAACAAAATTTAAACTTTGACATAATATACATTACCTACCTAATGTATCAATTGATCTCTAAAATAATAGATAAAAGTAAATTAATATAACACAATTTGAACAAGACAAGAATAACCAACAACCCTCCCAATCCCCACATCTTATGACGTTTTAATATAGTTTAAAATTAAAAAGAAGTTGGGAGTAGATAAATAATATAATTTATATTTCAATCATTATCTCTTAAAATAGCATAATTTGAACCACATGAACATGATTTAACACTTAAAAGACATATCATTCAAGTTTTAGAAGACTGGAAGTTGGAGGCTGCACTGAAAAAAGCACCATTCAAAACCATAAAAAGAGCGAAAAAAAAAAAAAAGAAGTCAAACTTAGTTTATTACATCAATTTCAAATCTTTATAATCCAAAAGAAGGTAAAAAAAATTGAGCTTTCCTTGCAAAGGTTAAAGGATTTACTTTGCTTGTGGAAACCTAGTAACCCATAAAAGATTATTAATTTCTTAATGAGTTTGTAGAATAAATTGAAGAGAAAGCATATTAATTAGGAGATGAGAGACTGTGTTTAACTTTAATTGCCGTGATTAGATTAGATGGTTAAAGCTTAATTACAATTACAAATAGCGTTGATCGATTACGCGAAAGCCACAGAGAAGAGAAAGAAGAGAACCCACCTGACGAACACTCCGTTTTACGTGTCCGTACCAGAGTCTTTATCGATGATGCTCACTCGGCAGTGATCGACTCCGATCTCTTCAACTTCTCCAATTTCTTTGTTTTTGTTTTCAGTGAATCAATGGCTTCCATCTCTACCAGCCCTCGCTCCGTTGAAGACATCTTCAAGGATTACAGCGCTCGACGCGCTGGCCTCGTTCGCGCCCTCACCTACGGTGATCTTTCTCACTCCCCACCCTAATTTCTTTGATGGGTTGTTGATGTTAATGCGTTTGAAGAATTGGGTTGGTTTTTGATCTGCCATTTGTTTCTTCTATTTGCAGACGTCGATGAGTTTTACTCGCTTTGCGATCCTGGTGAGTGTTGTTCTTCGTTCTTTCTGATTTTGGGCTTTCTCTACGGTTGACCTGAGAGCCGAGGGGAAGGGAATGGAATGATGACGTCGTTATGGAGTTTAGCTTTGAAGAATTTGGATTTTGATTAGTGTATATGGGTTATTGTTTTTCTTTTCCCATGTTTTTGATGAGCGTTGGGTGGTAATTACCCGGAATTAGGTGGAGAGCTTGCGGATTTATGCGACTTTTGACCTGACCTAATTTTGGGGTTCATGTATTTTCTGTTCTTCTCTCCCAGAGAAGGAGAACTTATGTTTGTACGGACACTCCAATGAGTCTTGGGAGGTTACACTGCCTGCCGAGGAAGTTCCATCCGAGCTCCCTGAGCCAGCGTTGGGGATCAATTTTGCAAGAGATGGGATGAAGCGCAGAGACTGGCTCTCCTTGGTGGCTGTGCACAGCGATTGTTGGTTACTTTCTGTGGCGTTTTACTTTGGTGCTCGACTCAACCGCAATGAGCGGTAAGTTATTTAACTACTTCAGGAGTTGGAAATTTACCGGATCTTTATTTCATGATGAAGCATTCAGGATATTTAGTTAACCACTCGTGGCATAAACAATCTCTTATTTATAATTATTGTAACTTTCACATTCTCCTGCATCGATACAATGTGTATAGAATTTCAAGCATTCCATTTAAGTGCATCTTCTTGGGTATGTATGCTGTCCCAAATTGTATGACGACTAAGGTCCATTTTACCTGAGCTTGACCTCTTATTCTGTCAAGGTATTACTATCAGTGGGAAAGTTCATATTCTTCTCTTCACTGTGATGAAATGTTTTTAATACTTGTTTGCATTATGCATTTATTTAAGATACGAAGTTAGAATAGTGAACTAAAACACCTAACTGTTACCAACATGCTAACATTTCCACTTCGCTTGGCTTCTTCTACCCCCGTCTCTGTGTGTGTATCTCTGTCTCTAACATTCATAACTGAAACTTTGTTTGGGAAGATAAGAAACATAAGCTATTTGAATGTGTATCTGGTACGGTCCTGGTGTTTGTGTTGACTTCATGATCACAGTCTACAAAATGCTCTTCAAGAGAGGCGGCTCTTCTATTTTCATGTAATTTTATTATGATTGGTAAGGATAGGATGATATGATTTTTGGGCTCATGAAGTCAATTTTGTAGCTTCCTTACTAAGTGATCCAGTAGGCTTGTGGCTRGTTATATAGGGCTCATGCACCCAAAATTATTGCTAGAGTTCTCTCAAAAAGGCTCAAAATGGTACATCGCATTCACTCTCCAAATAGCAGTCAACTTTTGTTGTTCACAGGCAAGCAAATTTTAATCTTTTAAAAACTGAATCTCTTTGAGAACGCATCCAACATCAAATCYGAAAATTTTGGCATCAACTGTGAAGCTTCTTTTCTGGATGCCGTTTTTTCTTTTATATATATTTTTCATAGATACTTAGCCTATAGTTTTAGATGTAAGCTTGCAAACTGGCCGTGGAGCTTCCATTAGATGGAAAGCACTTCTCTTGCACTTTTTGGGCTCCCATCGTTGAAAGAATAGAGTAGAAGCTTCACAGATGGAATGACTTATGTATATCAAAGGGTGGTCGTCTTACTCTTATTCAATCAACTTTTTCCAGCCTCTCCTAGTACTTTGTTTTTCCAAAGTGGTGGTAACTAAAGTCACTTGTAGGAATCTTTGGAAGACCATCTCCTCTACTTTTGATTCCTTTTCTTAATTTGCCATATTTTTGGTTGGGGATGCGGATGACTTGGTCGTTTGTTTTTGGGAAGATTGTTCATTAGGAGAGTCCCCCTTGTTTCTATTCCTTTTCTTCATTGAAATCACCCTTGACCTTATTTGAGCYGGGATACCGTGTCCCTTAACTTTGGCTTGGATTGCTTGCTTTTAGGCAGGAAGCTTATGACGTCTCCTCTTTGATTTCCTTTTTATTGGGGTTTTATTTTCGCCTTGGACCGAAGGATGTTCGTTTGTGGAGTCTCAATTCTTACAGCAATCAATCTTTGTTGAAGGTCGACAAATCCTTGATGCCTCACTTATTGCAAATGAGAGTATTGATGAATGGAAACAGAAAAGGAAGAGAGGGGTTGTGATAAAGCTAGACATTGAAAAAAGCATTTGACAAAGTGGATTGGATTAGAGGTTGTATCTCATCCACAAACTACTCTATTATCGTCAATGGGAGACCTAGGGGTAAAATCTTAGCCACTCGAGGGCTTAGACAAGGGGATCCCCTCTCACCCTTCCTTTCTATCATGGTAGTTGATTTCCTTAGTCGCCTTTTGACACAAGCTGCAGCCACAAATGTCATCAAAGGGGTTGAGCTGGGACAAGAATCCTTGCATATACATCATCTCCAATTTGCCGACGACACCATTCTCTTCTCCATTGAYGACGATGATGCTATCCGAAATCTTTTCAACATCATAAAGGAGTTTGAAGATGCATCGGGGCTTAACATTAATCTGAACAAATATGAGATCATCGGTATCAATATGGACGAAAATCGATTGACAGATATTGCTATCAGCTTTGGATGCAAGATTGGTAAATGGCCAAACACTTACCTTGGTATTCCTCTAAATGCTAATCCTAATTCATTAACCTTTTGGGCCCCTGTTCTTGAGAAAATTGAAAGAAGACTACAATCATGGCAGCACTCCTATATCTCAAAAGGTGGTCGACACACCCTCTTGCAAGCCACCTTATCAAACCTCCCCATTTACTACCTCTCCCTATTTGCCATGCCTAACAAGGTTTCATTAGCAATTGAGAAACTGTTCAGAAACTACCTATGGAGGGGCAACACAGAGTTTTCATCCATGCACCTTGTCAAATGGAAAAATCTCCTTCTGCCCATGGATCAAGGTGGACTTGGGCTTCATAGAATGCAAGACAAGAATYGAGCATTACTAGCAAAATGGATTTGGCGATTTCGGGAGGAAAAAACAGCTTTGTGGAGAAGAGTTATTGAGGCCAAATATGCTTCYGAATCATTTAATACCAAACCCAGTTCCAAATCAATCAAGCATGCTCGTGGCCCATGGAAGAACATTTATAAGCATCRGCATCTCATTTATGATCGTACTACTTCAGAAGTTAGAAATGGAGCTTCTACATCCTTTTGGTTTGATATATGGCTGCTCGGTTCCCCCTTGGCTACAATCTTTCCACAACTTCACTCTGTTTCCCTTAGAAAAAGGCATCTGTGAAGGGCATATGGAACAATGAGCTTGGATTTTGGGACTTGGGATTTAGGAGACATCTCAGAGACGGCGAAATTGATGAATGGGCTATTCTCTCCAACCAGCTTTCCCCTATATGCCTTTCTTTGGGAGACGACTCATGGACATGGCCACTAGACAGAAAGGGATTATTCTCCATCAAATCCCTTCTCACTGACATGGCCACAAAGGAACACCTCATCCCTTCTTCCCTGGCTAAAACTATATGGGGTGAAGTCTACCCTAAAAAGATTAAATTCTTCTTATGGGAACTTTCACACAAGGCCATCAACTCCCATGACCGTTTACAGCGAAAACTGCCCTTTTTCGCCATATCTCCCCATTGGTGCATCCTTTGTAAAAGAGATGGAGAAACACAACCTCACCTTTTCCTCACAGGCCCTCTATCAACAATGTTTTGGAATGAGATATTACTCGAATTCAATTGGAAAGTAGCTCTCCCATTTGATATCAAGGCGTTACTCTCATATGTTTTAGTGGGCCATCCATTCAAGAAAGAAAAGGCGATCCTCTGGAAACACATCATTCGAGCTTTCTTATGGACTTTTTGGAACGAAAGAAACCATAGACTCTTCACAGACAAAGAGCTCCCTTTCACTAGACTCTTTGACAATATCATTTTCTTGCCATGTCTTGGTGTAAAGCATCTAAAATATTTGCATCTTACAGTATGGTTTCTCTTTTGACCAATTGGAGAAGTTTCATGTAACTTCATTGGTATTTGGGATTTTTATCCCCTCTTTTGTAATTTCACTCATCAATGAAATTGTTTCTTATAAAAAAAAAAAAAATTCTTTAGGTGGGTTTTCTTTTCATCTAGGTCTTCTTTTTCTTCTTTTGTGGTTCTCCCCCATCCAAAGCCTTCTTTATTTTCTTTGTTATGGAAGGTGAGAGCTCCAAGAAGCTTAGATTCTCTGTTTAAAAGGTCATGCATGAGAAGAATAACACAATCAGTTCTATCTAGAGGATTCCTCCATTATTTTGGGTCTGCAGCGGTGTGTTTTGTGAACGTACTGAGTTTGAATCATGTACTTTGGAGTTGTGACATTGCTACCTTTACTGGGATGCTTTTTGTGGACATTTTGTGTTTCTTTGGGCCATTATTAGTTCTTGTTGTTCAATGTTTGGTCAGGCATTGTTCCCTCCTCTGTCTGAAGAAAAGGGAGAAGTGTTTCTTTTTTTTGTTTTTTGTTTGTTTTTTTTTTGTGAGAAATAATTTCATTGATGAATGAAATTACAAAAGTGAGCTCATGATAGGGGATTACATAAAGCTATTCCAGCTGAACAAAAGAGAGGAGAAGCTATAGTTGTGAAAGAGGGGTGAGCATTTACACCAAGATACAGCCAAGTATACCACATCTTCAAAAAATCTATCAAAAGTGAGGGTTTTTCCATGAAAGATATGCTGATTTCGCTCCCTCCAGGAGATCCACAAGAATGCCCTGTTAAGGGTCAACCATAAAAGCTTCTTCTCCTTCTTAAAGGGATGGCCCAGGAGAGTTGTTTCAAAAAGGAGAGGAGGATCATTTGGATGTGCAATCGACCAGCCAAAAGTTGTGAGAATCATGGCCCAAAATCGAGTGGGAAAGACACAAGAGACAAAAAGATGTTGTTGAGTTTCCAAGTTGTCCTTACAGATCGCACACCACTGTGGGGAGATAGCCAAGAAAGGGGATCTTCATTGTAACTTTTTGTGTTGATGGCCTTGTGACTGAGCTCCCAAATAAAGAACTTCGCTTTTTCGGGATAGGGGTCCCGCCAAATTGTATTGAACAGCAGGGGAGAGAGACTCTTAGGTTGTTGGAGGAGATCTTTCATGAGAGATTTGGTAGAAAATTTGCCTCCTGGTTCAAGGTTCCAAAGGAA